TCACTGCTTCTTGGTCCTCCCAGGAGAGCATCATTATCCGCAGATGCAGAAGGCTCAGCATAAGATGGAGGGGCTTGCGAATAATGTGCGGGATCATCGAGCGAGTCTCGCTGGGGAGCGCGAGTATATTTTGTGTTCGACGCCATAGTTTATTGGTGTCTCGAAAAGCGATCGTTGATGATTTGCGATGCACTGCGATAATAGCGTTGAAAAGTTGAATGTAGGTGTTGAAATGATTAAATCTAGATGAGGCACTGCGGAGAAGCAATAGTTAAAGTGCCGAGGAAGCCTAACGTAATGTATGTAATGTCATATGATGACGGGGTGTAACAGTATGACTAGCGCCGCCTCCTCAAAGGAAAAATGTGCATGATTTATATAGCTACATAGGTAATTGAAACATGGAAATAATTGTTGTTGCAGCGTAATTAAAAATGTCTGTCAAGTTTTTGTGGTGAATCAACATGTCAATTTACGACATTAAACTTTTGCACGCATGATGTTCACCACACTCAAGCATAAGACAAAAAGCACATCACTGAAAATATCATGTACATCAAGGTAGGTAGCTTTGTTGTTTTCAAGAATTATTGACCTAATAAGAAATAAATATCGATTTAGCTGCACATTAGAAGGCAATAAGAAACTACGGTATTAGCTTTTTGAGGAGCCAGAATAAATGCAGCGCCGTCAACGACCTGCAAAAAGAAAAATCCCCAGCCCCAGAAATCCGAACGAAAGCGTATGCAGCAATCGACAGGCCTCTCCATCGCCACCAGTCATCCATCCATGTTTTTACGCATAAACACATTTCCCCTGTACATCATCACCATTAAGCTTCAGCATCCGCTGACGTATGCGTTCCATTGGTTGCTTCAAGATGAGCAGTTTGCTCGCGTTGCATTCTAGCCTCAATCTCCTTCAATTGACTCTCACGAGCCAATAACTCTTGTCTCTTCGCCTCAATCTCTCGTTGCACCTTGATCTCAATCTCTCTGAGCTTCTCCTCCTCACGGCGGAGTTGCTCTTCCTTTAGGCGGACAGATTGAGAGGCCAGGTCCTCAGGGTTCATAGAAGCATCACTGTAGAGCTATTAGCATTTATCAATCATGATTAGAATAAATAAAACATACCCTCCACTACCACCTTCAACACTCTTGCTAAGCTTCTCAGTACGGTAGTTTTCATAAAGGAAATCGTGGGTTATTTCCTTCAAATCTGCTAAATGACTGTGTAGAAGGGCACTTCGAATGGCAAGGAAGTCGGAATGTCTTGGGTTATCAACCTCTACAACACCCCATGGATATTGTCTTGCACGAACTTGACGTCCACCAATCTCAACAACATCTTCTGATCCTACGATAGCGAATGGCATCAAACCACGAAGCTCAGCATTCTCCTCGACTGTATCCTCATCGTCCTCCTCGATGTCGTAAGGAAAGTTGTAGACAGGAATTCTATAGTGCTCGATATCCTCCATGACAAGCTTTTTTGATTCTGCAAGTTCAGCGGGTGTCAAGGAATCAGCCTTTCCGATAACTGGAATAACATTAACTCTAGGGGAGAGACGCTTCATAAGCTCGATATCTAATTCGCGAAGGCTATGAAGTAGGTCAGCTTGGAATTGGGAGGTGAAGATTGAGATGCGACATACCCGTGGCCGGTAGGGGTGATGAAATAAAGTAATGCATGGATACGATTGTCGCGGAAACGAGGATTACGCTTGATACGGGATTCTTCTGCCAAAATATCGTCGTATTGTCTCTCAAGATAGCCAACAATCTCTCCAAAACTTCGCGTCTGTCAGCTAAAATCGTTCATGTTGTAAATTGTCTCTCCTACCTTGCCTCATTGTCGATTTGGTCTCCAAAGCCAGGTGTGTCGACAATTGTGAGTGAAATACGGGTTCCTTCTTCATCTAATTCCAGCTCTGCAAGTGTGTCAGTCAATGTCCAATTTAGATAGAATTTGCAGATCCAAATGTTGCTTACCAACTGTGGTTGGCTTAATCTTGACACCTTCCTCGACATGAGCATTTGTCGCATCGTCGGCGTCCTTGCCAGAGAGGACCTTTTTGCCGCATAAAGTGTTCACGAAAGTGGTTCTTCCTGTGAAATCCAGTCAATACCACTCATAATATCCATAGATGTATTGTGCTATCGTACCTGTGCCTGATGCACCACAGACCATCAAACAGAACTGGATACCCTTCTTGACATTCTTCTTTCTTCGCATCTTAATCTAGGATAATCGCTGAGTTAGTATTGATCGAACTTCGAAATGTGAGAACAAACCCCAGATGAGAACTATTGGGGAAGTTGCGGTCAGATTATCCAGACTTTGGACATAGACCAAAAAAGTTGTTGATAGGGATAGACATACAGCATTCAAAGGAGACGACATGATTGTCTGATTATTACGAGGCTTAAGCCACGAGGAAAAACGATTGAACTGGCTTTTGAATTGGAGGGGGGAGGATGGATTGAAGAGAAAGAATTGATGGAAAGAAAATAAGTGCTTTTGCTCTGTTGAACTTTGGAAATTGAAGTCGCGGATATTCACTCTCTCGTAAACTATCGGTCGACAAGTCGTTGCTTCTTCAGGTCAGGGGAATAAATTAGCGAAATATAACGCTTTACCTAATTAAGCAGCGGGTGATAGAGCTTGTGCAACTCAGTGCGAGGCTGAGAGAAGCAATTTTCTGGGGTGTCACAGTTTATCTTGGGGGATGAAACATAATCATGATACGATTGAGTTCTTCTTATCAATATCATCAATAACAACGGCACACATCACATTCAGTGGAATAGAAGGGAAATTTCGATACATTCACATTCATTCACTGGACTGTACTGTTCCGGTGTGTACATAATTGACGTTGGGACTTAAACCCAAACTTTCCTGGCACTGAAACAGATCTGTCATGATTTCAATACCCTTAATTGATGGTTCAACAAGTTGGAAAACATTTAAATCTGCCCACTAGGCTCGGGACAACGCTGAGAAGGGTCCCCTAGTCTTTTCATTAATTACGATTACGAACGGCGGACACCCACGTTACCGTACCTAACATCTTGCATTGGTAGATAGAGATTGCAGGTAATTGATAGCCTGGTACTGTGCAGAGTATGCCTAGCCCGCCGAAATAGCGCAGTCCTATCCACTCACACACAGCAGCATAATACAGTACCGCGCAGGACAGTACCTACCTAGTACTTTTAAATATTTATATCGAGAATATCGTAGTTATCGCAAGCCATCTCTTAAATCAAAATATCGAATCTCAAGAGCAGTGAACAACTCCAAAAGTTGATGCCAAATTTCACATCGTTTTGTACATCATTTCTTTGGAAATCATTGGGATAAATAACATTGGAGCACGTTATCGCTATCGAAGATGAATACCAGGCCCTTGATAGAGAACTCAAGGAATCCCACAGCCTTATCAGCTTCCTTTAATCACGATGCTAGCTGTTTTGCCATTGGACTCGATACAGGATTTCGTGGTATGTCTCGAAAGAGGATTCTTTTGGGGGGCTTTCTGACTATAAATTGCAGTGTTCAACACAGAAGCATGTCAACAACGAGTTGCCAGAGGTAGATCTCAAGCCACAATCTCTCAACTGATCAGTACTGACCACGGAGGTAGACTTCAATGGCGGGGTTGGAACAGCACAGATGCTTGGGAATACCAACTACATTGCTCTAGTTGGTGGTGGAAAACAACCAAAGTTCGCTCAGAATAAGGTGAGTAGATTCGTGTGGGGAGGATTAATTCGTGTTTGTGGCCTAACATTATCGTAGGTAATTATTTGGGATGATTTGAAAGCAAAGGTTGCTGCACAAGTATCGGTTCTTACCTCTGTCAGAGGAGTTCGAATCACGAGGACTCACATAGTAGTTGCACTTCTAAACAGCATTCGTGTTTACCATTTCCAAAGCAACCCTACACTATATCAGGCCTATGAAACTGCAAGCAATCCTTATGGACTATGTTGCTTGAGTGCCAGCATCTTGATATTTCCCGGTAGAACATCTGGGCAAGTACAAGTGGTCGAACTCAATAGTGGAAATGTTAGCATTATACCTGCTCACACGGGAGCCCTTCGAGCTCTAGCTTTGAGCCGGGATGATGAGATCATTGCAACTGCCAGTGAAACTGTAAGTTTTGATTGTTGTTCACATTATTTTGAAAGTTCCGAAGCTCACGTCAATGTAGGGTACACTGGTCAGAGTATTTGCAACCAGCAATTGTGCGAAGATAGCTGAACTCAGACGAGGTGTCGATCACGCCGATATTTTTTCCATCTCCATTTCCCCGTCAGGACAGCTCCTGGCTGTTACTTCAGATAAAGCTACGCTTCACGTTTTTGATATTCCGCATCCCTCGAAACCTCCACGGTCGGAATCAGCGACAGGCCATCGACGGCTCACATCTCTTGGTGGCGGTGGTAACAGTAGCCCGACGACTCCAGATTCCGATGCAAGAAACAAATGGGGAATTCTAGGGAAACTACCTTTGATGCCCCGATTATTCTCGGACATATATTCTTTTGCAACTGCCACATTTTCCATTGGTGAGGAGCCTTTGTCCGCATCTTCTAACCCACTAACAGCAAGCGACGCTGGACCCAAGGCCTCGAAAGGTGTCATCGGATGGACTAGTGATGAGAGTCTAATTGTTGTTGGAGCAGGCATTGACAGTCGCTGGGAAAAATTTATCATTGCCGAAGGTGAAGATGGCAAGCGTTACTGTATCCGGGATGGCTGGAAGAGAATTTTGAGAGTCGAATAAATACCAGTCACTTTGCATGCATGTATGATACGACACGGCAAGGAGCCAAATACCCCTTATGATTGGAGTTAATTGGGTTGCATTAAATATGGGTGGGCATTGAGCGTGTATTTGGGGCTATTCATGCACAAGAACTTGCATATTGCTTTAACTAGGTCATAGAATCTCTTAAAGGCCAATGCTAAGGTTCTCTTACACTACATTACTAGTGCCTCCGTCTATCATGTTCGTACCCCCTTGAATCATCTCTTTTTTCTCGTCGCTCACTGGTCCTATCCTTGTGCCTACCATCTCGTTCATAATCACGACGCCTTGGCGCATCTTCTTCTTTATCTCTCCGTGATCGAGAACTGAATTTATCACCCTCATCCTCCCTTGATCTTTCTCGCCGTGTCCTCCTTTCTTTTCCATCATCGTCTGGGGATCTTCTCCTAGACTCGCGATCTCGATCCCGGTCTCTATCATGGCCATGAGACCTATGCCGAGATCGATGGCCATCATCCAAATCTTCCTCATCCTTAATTCGCCTAGACCTATGGTGATGTCTATGCTTTCTGCTCTTTTCAAACCTCTCAGATTTGCTTCCTCCTTTGACCTTTGCCAGTGCTTTTGCGACTTCTTCCTTCTTCTCCTCAATCAAAAATGCTTTCATCGGATCGTCCTCATCGTGGTCTCTGATTAGCAGCGCTAATTCCCTCTCCTCTTTGAGCATTGGTCTCTGCTCTTCTTCGTCTTCGCTATCCTCACTCCCCCCACTGGTCCTTCTCCTCTTCCGCCTCTCATCTCCTTCTCTATCCAGCTCCGCATTCAAATCCATTCCAGTATCTTCCTCTCCCTCCTTCCTCTTGTACCTCGTATGGTCTACTTTCAGCGTCCTACCCGCAATTACCGCACCTCCTAAATTGTCGACAGCTAAATCCGTACTCCTCTGATCCTCATATTTCAAGAATGCAAACCCTTTAGATTTTCCGGTTTCTTTGTCCCGTATTAAATTTATATATGTAGGCTCGCCATATTGTGAGAATATAGTCAGGATATCGCCTTCGGAGAGCTCAAAAGGAAGGCCGCCTATGTAGATGTAAGCTGTGTCGCGATAATCCGTATGCCACGAGGCGGACGGAGAACTAGAGAACAGTTAGTTTGACAATGAAGTAAAAATAATTGCTAACTTACACTCCATTCTCCAATTCACGTCTATTAAGCTCTTGAATCTGACGAATACTATTCATGTTGTTATGCGTAGAGTAATGAGGTGTAACAAACGCACTAGGTAGGTGAGGCGGAAGAAGCAAGGACAAGGCTGCAAAATAATAAATTTGGGCCCCTGCCTCGCGTGTTCCACTGCATTGATTTACGTTCACAACTTTATGAAGCTTCCCCAAACCACAGAACTTGATGAGGCCTAGAATAGCCAATGCGATAAATACAGAATTCATTGATCACTTACCTCCCATATATCGGATGGGAAATTTTTGGGTCGGGAGAAACCAACGACAATTACTCAGGCTTCAAGGATTGACCTGCAAACTGCATGGTTACGAGTGCAATACAGGGGAAAGGAAGTAAATAAACTTCCAAAACAGCGGATATGGCAAACAACAGGGCGTCGACGTATACACAAGCTACGACATCAACGGATGATGAGGAGAAGAAGGATATGTGGTCGTCTATGTTGGATGGAGTTGCAAGTGGAAAACGATTACCGGAGAAGAATATCCTTGTGCTAGGTATTGCAGCAGCATCCCGAATATGCTAAAGAGAGGATATACTAATATGAAATAGGAGGAACCGCGGATTCGCAGAAAGAATTTCTAGAGGCTTTGTCGGTGGATGAGACCAGGAAATCTCAAGATAGACAAAGTAGCAAACAACCTCCTATTGCAAACAACTTTGCTTTGGGATACACATATCATGATGTTTTGGATGCGGATCATGAAGGTATGCTTAATTTGGCGCAGTTGACCACTTTGACGAGAACCTAACTCTATCTAGATATTTTGGCTCGATTGTCCTTATACTTACTCGCCGACCCTTCGCCCTCCTTCACACCTCTGATGCAACCACTTCTCACACCACAAACAATCCCAAATACTCTTATTGTCATATTACTAGACTGGTCGCAACCATGGTTCTGGCTGAGAGAATTACGGGACTGGATACGTCTTCTGCGGCCGTTATTGATATCTCTGGATGAGGATTGTAAGGAGAAAATGGAAGAGGTAATGATTAGTTGGAGGGATAGAGGGCGTGGTGGAAGTACCTTAGATGGTGGAGGGAGCACTGCTACTGAGGGAGATGTTAGCTTGCCGTTGGGTCCTGGAGAATGGGAAGAGGCTCTGGGTTTACCACTATGCGTGGTTTGTCAAAACGTAGGTTCTTTTGTGCAGGCGCATATTTGCTATATTAACAGGTGTCTAGTCTGACAAAATCGAAACGTTGGAGAAGGAACGGTCTTGGAGAGAAGATGAGTTTGATTACGTTCTACAGTATTTGCGCACAATACTCCTCAAGCGTAAGTTATACATTTACAACAATCAAACAAATATGCTAACTATGTCAGATGGGGCATCCCTCATTTACACAACACCAGGGGTTATTAGTCCTCTGCAAGGCTTAATACACTCCTCTCTCGGCATACATTCTCTCCTCAAAAGGCAGCCTATTAGACACAATCTTATTGATCGCGACAAGGTAGTTGTGCCGCCAAATTGGGACTCTTGGGGTAAAATCCGAGTCCTTCGCGAAGGTTTCAACGTAGAGGAAGTGAACAAAGGCTGGTCACTTGACATCGAAGAAGATTCATCTAGCGATGATAGTAGTACACACTCACAACCACCGTTGCCAGTACCTGAAAGTGCGGTATCAGCATACGAAGAAGTCATTCGAGATCCCAGTCTCGATGCCCTGCAAGCCACGTCTGCAGAATCACAAGGTCTTAAGTTGGAAGTATCTAGTCTTGATGCTCAGAGTTTCCTGGCTTCTCAAGTCGAAATTCTGCATACAATTAGCCAAGGGCCAGATGTCTCGAGTGTAGATAGTAGTCGCTTGGTTAATGGTCGCAAAGTGTCTAGTGAATATGGGAATGGCGAGGATAAAGCATCGGATGAAGGAAGAGTTAGTGAGCATATCGGTCCGGTACAGTTTAATATGGGCGGTATTCAGGTCGATGCCGATGATATGTTGCAAAGATTACGGGTAAGTGCTTTTCCTTACCTGGCGACTTTGGGCAAAATTAACCGGGCGCAGGACCGACAAGCATATTCTTCACCAGAGTCAGCAGCACCAGGCACTCGTACTGATCCATCTGCGGAAGGCAAAGTTCAAAACGAAGCATTAGCATCTTTCTTTGCCGGGTTAATGAAGCGAGGCGGAAGCGCCCAGGGTGGTCCTAAACCAGGAGCTTCGTCTTGAGTGAGTGTAAACTCTACCTTTTCAGATTAACATAGAAGACACAATGGGCCAGAGACTCTATCCTGGCATTCGCCACGTCAATGTTTGAATGCAGACAATAATGGATGGTGGGGAGGCTGGGAGAGAGCCGTGGTTGAAAGAGGAAGAGTAAGTGCCTTTTTGTATGATACCCGGAGGGCTGGCTAGATGTAAACTTATACATTTGTTCCATATCGATGGATTTTATTCAGGCAGTTCGTGGTATGCTTCTTGTAAAGATAAGGTGATATGTTGGAGAGAAAGATATACTACTCTAATTGAGGTCGAGAAGAAAAGTCGCATTTTGTGACTTTCGATTGAAGTCAATAAAATCACGATAATTAATTATTTCAGATATGTAACAAGACTTTTCCAAGTGAAAGAACAAACATTTAATTGGCTGGTTCCTTTCATCAAAAGTGAAGATCGTGTTTGCTGGTGAAGTATGATTGGACTGTGTTCATGTATCGTGCTCTAGTCTTTCATGAAAAGAAAAGCGCTATTCTATATTTATGCTTCATCCGCCCTTTTCCATCTACGCCTTCCATCACATATGACTCGGAACCTACTCCCGATATCTCTGCAACAATTGATCATCCCAACTGTTTGAATCGCATCAGTTCCTAGCTGCATTTTCATCTTCGAGATTAGAACAACTCACCTCAAAAACCTGCCATTTAGCCCCTCATCTCTCAGTTTTTCATCGCTAGCCAATCCAGCCATAACACCACCCGGCTGTTCTGCTTTCAACAATTTTCCCCCTTCATGTAAACCAATGAATTTCTCGGCATCTTTTTTATCCATTACGCCGCTAGTACTATGACCCCGTACCTCTTTTTGCATCTCTGTATCCACAACTCCAGGCCTAATGGCGAGACTGGTGATTAATGGTTCTTCGACTGAAAGAGTCTGAGCGAGATGGTTGAGAGCTGCTTTGGAGGAGCCATAGGGGCCCCAGGTGCTATAGGATGAAGCAGCTGCGCCGGAAGAGGTGAGCAAGATGGTGCCGCGGGTGGTGCGCAGATGAGGAATTGAAGGGGTTATCTGGGGTATGGTTAGATCTTGGAGTATGGAGAGGAGAGGAGAGGAGAAGGAGACGAACGAATGCTAGCGCGCTGAAGAAATTGATGTCAAATAGACCCCGCCATTCTTCGGGGGTGCTGTCAGCTATACGTTTTACTGGGGACAAGGTTCCGTGGTTGACGATTAGACTGTCGAGTTTTGAGAAGCGTTTGATGGTGGTTTCGACGGCTTGTGGTCCTACCTGGTAATGGAGGATTTAGTTAGTCGTAGGCTCTTGAGTCTTGAAAATTGGATTATAGGAAGGAAACAAAATAATGGAACAGGTAGGTACGATATATCTATGATATATTCTCAACTGAGAAAACACTGCAGTCAAAACATCACTAGAAGTAGTCAAAGCAGGCAATTAATTGCCGCTGCTCTCCCAACCATGATCTCACTAGAGTACAACGATCAACCCATAACCATTCAAATCTAGGAATCTTCAACGGCCAACATCTTCCTCAATACCCACCTTGAAATCATTCAAATCGCCCACAACAACTTCCACCTGTTCCGGATACTGTTTCTTTAATTCCTCCATGGGTCCTGCAGTCCTAGCTACAAGTACCACATTATGTTTTTCCCTCAGAAGTTTCTGGGCAATTGCAAGGCCAATTCCCCGACTTGCGCCTGTGAGAAGAATCGTTCTTGGTGCCATTCTCTTTTCCTGTATTTATAATTTTATGCGTTCGTTCTTCAAGTGGTATATGGTGTGGTGATTGTGTATGGGTGTAAGAGTGGTGAGAAAAGCGTGATGTCTTTTGGTGGGGCAATTGAGATCTTCTGTTTACTTAATTTGAAGCTTCAACACTGCTCACTCATGCATATGGGAAGTTTGAGATAAGAAGAAGTTCAACTATTCGTGGTTACCTAGAATTACTCGACGCAGACTTATCAGCTAACATATTTGTTCCACCGTCTCCAACACTCAACTCATATAAATCAGAAGACTTAGCTATCATTGGACCATTACGTCATGCCGATTGCGGAGAAGGACAGAAGGGAGTCGTCGACATGCAGCATTGAAGCACCTACTTAACATCTATCATTTCTGTATGATTTGCTAAGTTCAAATCTTACTTGTATATTGATTTATCAAAATCCCACTCTCAGAATACTCAAAATGTCCAACACCGTCATCCTCGGCACCGGTATAATCGGTCTCTCAACCGCATACTATCTCTCTCTCTCCCAGGACCCTTCCACCATTCAGCTGGTAGACCCGTCTCCCACACTTTTCTCATCCGCTTCAGGCTACGCAGCTGGCTTTCTTTCTCGCGATTGGTTTTGTGATGAATCATCTGACTTGGGGCTCTTGAGTTTCGAGGAACATAAAAAGCTTGCCGAGGAGAATTCTGGTGCTGAGAAATGGGGATATAGTGTGAGTAGAAGTTTGAATTTTGTGAGTCATGTTGCTGCAGAAAAGGCGAAAAAGAGCGGGAAGAAGGGAGTCAGAGGAGACGATTGGTTGAGAGTGGGCGGGAGCAGGGCTGAGACTGCTAGTGGTAATGATGGGGTAGGTGTGAAGGAAGCGGCAAGTACTGCTGGAGAGTGGCCTAAGTGGTTCAAAAAGAATGAGGGTGATGAAATGGAATCTATTAGTAAAGAGGGAAGTACAGCTCAAGTGTGGGTTCATCCAAAACACCATCCACTGGCAGAATCACACTAACATATCAAGTGACCCGCTCAAGTTGTGTCAGTTCCTTCTTGCAAGCTGTCTTGAGCGCGGCGTACA